GTGGTTCTCTCGCCCCTCCCCCCCTTCGTGTGGTGTGGCGTGGTTGTGCCCGCGACCCGGCCCCTACTGCAGCATCATCATCATCATCATCATCATCATCCTCATCCTCATCCTCATCCTCATCGTCATCCTCCTCATCATCATCATCATCATCAGCATCACCATCGTCATCATCATCACCATCGTCATCGTCATCGTCATCGTCATCGTCGTCGCCATCCTCATCATCATCATCATCATCATCATCAGCATCATCATCCATGGTTCGGGGTTCGGGTCTTAGGCCGGGGGGGGTCTTCCATATGGGGGGGTCGGTGAACCGAGAACCGAATCAAAGATGGTCAGGCGCTCTGCGGCCCCCCCTCTCCCCCCATGGTCCATGGTCCAGGATATCCCGCCCCCTGCGAGTTGGGGAGGGGTCCCAATTCCTTTTGTACGGTGGTTGTGGGGTTTTGGGGTTTAGGGTTTAGCTTAAGCTTTTGAGTTTGGAGTTTAGGGTTTAGGGTTAAAGTTAAAAGGTATAAGGCTTCGAGTCGACAAGGGCTTAGGGAGGGTTTAGGGCCAGGGTGTAGGTTGGTTAGGGCTGATGGTTTATGTTCTGCTTTCGGCTTAGAGCCTGCACTTAAGCGGGGGCTTACTGTTGTGTAGGGTTTAAAGTACAGGTTAAAGGTAATATAAACAGGAACACGCCCTACGCGATAGGGTTTATGGCTTGCGTAGGGCTTGCATAAGATCCCGGCTCTCTCTGTGACGCCTGGCCGCCCCCCAGCACCCCCACCCTCAGCCTCCCCCTTCACCCCTACCAGACCATACCATTAAGGGTGCGGGGGGCCGGGAACGGGGGCCGGGAACCCCAGACGCCTGACCAAAAATACGTTTGTAGCTTTGTGCCATTGTGCTTTCCAACAAACAACGATTGTGACCATGCATGCCAAACCGAGGAGTACCTTCTGGTGACCATTCTGAGACCTGGCTGCATCTACTGCAGACGGAAAGTTTGCTATGCTTTACTGTCCTCCCAGGAGCATTGGCTGAGATGAATAACTCAGGAACGTGGCCCTGTTCTTTGGTGCCTTCTGGTTCGTGGTCAAAGCTATGGTGCAACAAACCCAGTGCCTCAGCACACTCGTTCTGGGAGATCGATCTCTCCGAGTTGCAAGCGGCGCCGTGAATTGAGGTAGGAGCTTGAGCTGATGCTGGCTCGACTTGCGGGTCCTCCACCACTCTGAGAACGCAGCAGTTGTTCCACAAGCCTGTTTCGAGGGACGTGCTCGGACGGACGTCAAGTTGTCCACCCTGGGCGGCCCAACAACTGCAAGGTGGCGCATGAAGGCTGAGAGGAGAAAAACAAAAGTTTAACACAATCCAGAGCTTTTCATGCCCCGTGGTCTGTTGATCGCACCGTGAATTTCTCAATGCCAGGCAGGGATCAGTTTCGCCGCTACAGTTCGGCTCAAATTCACCCAAGATTTGTGCCGATTTCTTCATGATGTGCATTAGATGCCAGGCTGCAACGCGGTAATGCACCTTGCAGGGGTGCGTTGCTGGTTGATAATCGGTTGCAGGTGCCAGCTGCAATTGTCACGTCTCGGTCATGCATGCAAGGGCGCATGTTCCCAAGACATCCTGAGACTAAGGGACCGAAAGATAGACTCCGATAGCGAACCATGAAGGTCGCATACCTGCAGTGGTTAAGGGGTCTAGGAAGGTTTTCTGGAGTTGATGTGCTAGCATGGGTCAATCGCCAACTGCTAGTCTCTTCGACTCTGACTATCTAGCCGTTTTGCATGAGCTGCAGCCAGAGTTTCCAGACCATTGAGTCGCCCCTTACTTTCACTGCTGTTCAAAGTATGTTCAACGTGTGTCAACTCTCCAGTTTTTGATTGCCTGTTTGTTGCAGATGTTTCACAAGATGGCTCAGGTCTCCTTTGCCGTTCTTGCTTGGGCGGCATGCTGCGCAGCGCAGGAGTCAGGTCTGGTATGAGGTGCGAAGATGTCTTTCTTAGTAGCATTTGCCGGTGCAGGTGATGACTCAGGCAGCTGCATGACCCTTTTACAGGTGACCCATGAACGGAGCCATGGCAGCAAAGATAGAGTGAAGAGCTGCGATCCCGAAAATGTAGCAGGGTTGCCGCGTGTGCCAGGCCAGGACTAGTTACTAGTTTGACCTCCTGAGGTTGTTGAGATCTCTGAATCCGTCAGGTTAAGATCAAATTCCACAGACCGACAAGACAGCGGCAAAGAGCCGTCTGGCACCCAGCGCAGCTTCGTGCAAGGAGGGGTGCACAGGAGGACAGCCGAGTGGAAAGCACCTTGACGCTGAAACTTAAGCAGCTTGGTAAAACGTGAAAACTCGCAGATGTTATCTCAGCAACAGACCCAGTAGCACAATGGGTCCAATTTGGTGTTATAGCAGTGGATGCCTAACTAGGGCCTGACGCTCTAATGCCGAAATGGTGCGGCCATCTGGTGGCCGTCCTCTGCCCGCTCTTATAAGATTTGTTTAAGCTACATAGTTGACAGCAGTGAATAGGTTTGCGCACGGCACATGTAGCTACAGTGTTCTTGCCCGAGCACACTTGGATTTCGATCTCTCCGTGCGCAAAAAGACACGTTCATACGCAATGAAGAGTGCTACGTTCTCGCGCCACGAGCACACTTGCATGGATCTCACTCCCCTGCGCAAAGAGACATGCTCATGCGAACAGACTGCTGCGTTCTCATGCCACGAGCACACCTGGATATCTCTGCGTGTGCAAAGAGACATGCTCATGCAGAGAGACTTCTGCGTTCTCTAGCCGCGAGCGCACTTGGATCTCTCTCCGTGCACAAAGAGACATGTTCATGCGAAAGGACTACTGCTGTTGGGTTTCACGCAGCGAGGACTCCGCGAGGGCACTTGGATCTCGTGCACTCCGTGCCCAGAGAGACATGTTAATACGAAAAGACTGCTGGGATCTCGCGGCGCCCCCAAAAATAGATGACTTTCAATTGCGGATGCAAGGACCAGTTTCTAGGGGCGCACGCACACATCCCTTACGCCTTGCGCTTTCGGGATCCCGTAGTCCGAAGCTTGGTCACCGTGCCCTTGCTCAACAGATGATAGACCCTATCAGCATATCCGCTTTCGGAATGTAAGCGAAGCAGCAGGAAGTCAACGGGTATTTTTTCCATGGGCTGGCACTAAAGGTTGTGGCACGGCCGAATTGCCAATGTAGTCATGGTTGAGAACGAAGGTCAGCAAAGCCTATTTTAAAAAATGGTGTGCCGACCTCAGAGTGATCATGCCGGCTACAGAGTGTATGTCATCTTCCAGTGCAGTTGTCAGGCTGTGCAGTTTGTGACATAAAGATAGACAGGTAGATAGAATCCCAGTCGACCTGCTGCAGGTCAGGAGGCACCGCGTTGAGCATGTACCGATGCTTTCAGAACAGCCCTTCTGGTGGATGATGGCCGGGCTGATTATTCTAGTGACCGTCGTGGTGATCAGGACTGACACCGAGCCTCTTTTGCTTGCGCTGTCTCATGCACCTGACTGCCCTTGCTCAGTTTGCACACGACCTGCAGGATGGAAGTTCAAGAGCGTCCTGCACCAGCGGACACAGCCGAGACTGCGATAGAAAGCCAGGCCCAAAGCCAGGCCTCCAAAGAAACCAAGGAGAAGGGCTTCTCGGCAAGCAGTGGCACTACCTTGTTTCTCCATGATAACCTGTATGTACTGTTCGTTACACGGGTAGGACCAAACTTGCACAGAGGCAGTAGCTACACTACGATTCGTCACAGTTTGGCAAAAGAATGCAAAAGATGCAGGCATGCATGCATGTTGCGTAAGCTAAAGCACGCTTACATGGAGGGTCTCCTGCATGGTTACAATGTACATGTACATTTACACATTTTACACACACACATACGGATGTGCGGTGACCTTTCTGCCATCACTCTTTTGATCTCTGTCTCTGTCTCACACTCTTCCTCTCGTATGTAAATACACATATCTATGTGTGGCTGCGTGCATGCGTGCATGCATGCGTGCGTGCGTGTGTGTATATAAATGTATATGTGTGTGTGTGCATTGGTGTATGCGTGTATTACTTGTGTATTCATATATGTCTGAATGTATGCATGTGTGTATGTCTGTCAGTCTGCAAGTATGTCTGTCCAGCAGGCTGGCCGAATGCATGTATGTATGTATGTATGTATGTATGTCTGTATATGTGTGTGTGTATGTATGTGTGCAGGGGTCGGTGTGTATGTGTGTATATGTCAGTGCATGTCTATGTAAGCATGTATGTATGCATGCAGGCATGCATGTATGTATGTATGTATGTATGTATGTATGTATGTACGTAGGTATGTATGTATGTATGTATGTATGTATGTATGTATGTATGTATGTGTGCATGTGTGTGTATGAGTGTATACATGTA